ACGAAGAAGTTGAATGGTGCCAACATGGACCACAGAATAGCGTCTTTATTTTCGCGGAGGAGCTGAAAGACAGGGTCAAATCAGGATTTCCCTGTATGTTGAGCATTTCAGCCGACTTTGACTTCCGTTCAGGAGAGTTGGCCTTTGCAGTCGACACTAGGTCCCCGTGATCTTTTCACGTGTAAGTGCCTTGCTAGCTGCAACTAATGTTGCGGAAAACCCTCGATGGAAAATAGTTCTTGCAATCAAAGAATTACAATCATTTTAATAACTTTCGCAACACCAGATTCTACACAATTGTACAGGAAAATAAAAAAAGGCAAATTTGCAAAACTCGTCATTATTTTCCGGTTCGGACACTGGTGGTGAAATAAAAAATTGTATAAAGAGGGCGCAGTAACTAAAAAAACTGGCACAAGAGGTTTTTTGCGTCTTAAGTTCGTCGAAATCCATGTTTAAAAAATAGTTGCAGAATCGAGTCGTGGAAGCCCCATACGCTTTCGGCGCAGAAACTTGTGGCGCTGACGCTTCATTAACTGAGCTGGATGGTCACCGTACGACCTGTCTTGTTAAATTGACTAGGACAGAAGACAGAAATTTGTGGGTGAAGCAGATTACGGAGAGCATACTGTCACTTGGCAAACAGTAATGACAATTTGACAGAACGGCAGGGAGAATGGCATAAATTAAGAAAAAAAAAGCTCAGGAATAGGACCCACGTCGTTTTTACACCGGACTTCGCAAACATGATTTTGGCTGCTTGGTATTGCGGCTTGTTGCTCTTTGTATCGTAAAAGTAAACCACCTCCTTAATTCCACATTGAATAATAACTTTCGCACATTCATTACACGGAAAGAGGGTAGAATAGAGCGTGCAGTTTTTTACGTCAGCCGAGTTTTTGTTCAACACTGCGTTAAGTTCGGCATGGCAAACTGAGGATTACAGCATGTGCATGAACGGCTTACCGTACAGATTCTTGTTTTGAAGGGGATCGTCAAAACCCTTAGTCCAGGGCATTTCATCGTCGGACAAGCCTACGGGCATGCCGTTATAACCGACTGCAACTATTTTTTTCTCGGAATTTATTATACACACTCCGACCTTGTTTTACTACGTACAAAATCGAAAAACCTACCTGTGTAATTGGATCCTTACTCCTCATAGCTGAAAGGAAGGCTAGCGACATGAAATATTCATCCCAACTCAGGTACTCTGTCCTTTTAACGTTAGAGGCGATCGACAGGTTTTCCAAAGAGACTTCGTGTACTAAAGACAAAGGGAACATTTGACAATAATTGGGATGGTAGGAGGCGGGAGAGAGGTAAATCAATCCTCTGATAAGTCAAATAAAATACAATATTTTTTGCTTTTTAAAATGCCTGGAAAGTTTAAATATGAGGAATAGGATTAGCGTTAACCAGTTTTCGAGTTTCGAAATATAAGATAGACCTTCCGTACACATTAAAGTGTTTTAATCGATTGGCTGCGCAACGAAACGGAAAAGAACGCGAGTAAAGAATTAGTTTGCGGAGAAAGCTTAAACCCCAAGAAGTAATAAGACAATTTAGATTCTCGAAATGCCCTCCTTATGTGTTTTAGCAAACTCGGTGCGCGCATCCATCTATAAGACCACCAGAACGCGCTTGTAGCGCTTTTATAAAGTGTTTTAACTCGGCTCGTAGACGAGGCGAATAGCGCTACGGGAAGTGAAGGTAGTAGACTTATACTTCCAGCTCTGGGTTAAGCGCGAGACTACCTGTTTTATTACGAAGATTGAAAGTTTGACACTCGCTAATGAACGCTCACCGATCGCTAACGGC